TTTTATTTATAAACACGCTAAAACACAAAAAGTTCACCATAAATTGTTAATTTAAATTGTGGAAAAGATAATTTCATTGCATGATATTTTAAAATCTGAGATAGTGGGATTGATATATGTATCTGTAATAAAAAAAAAAGCCCATTTTTTTCATATCAGTTAGAATAAAATGTAAGCATCATAACTATTATTTTACACATAATCTGCAATTTAATATGGCCTACTATTGTATCGTATGTCAGAAGGGTAGGCTCATCCGATATTAAAATTAATATCAAAAACAAATCCTCGTGCGATTTTGATAACCTTGTATTATTAACCGTGGCATAGCGGCTCTTTCTTTTTCTGCAAGTACAAACATTAAGATCACCAGAAACATATAAAATATTGAAATACTTTGTTTGTTTGTTTTAAAGCAAAGCCATAGTAAGCTATCTGCTTTGTTCACCACAGGAATTGAACCCAGAAATTTTACATTCTAAGTCTGTAAGCTTACCGCTTTTCTACTAAGATACATTAAAAGTATAACTGACGTAAATATGGTGAATCTTATGGATTAGAAATTTTCATAAAAGAATCTGTGATATAACAATATTTTTTTTGGCCCGGCATGGCCAGGTGGTTAGGACGCTCGACTCGCAATCTGAGGGTCGCGTGTTTGAATACCCGTCACACCAAACATGCTCGCCCTTTCAGCCGTGGGGGCGTTATAACGTACTATTCGTTGCTAAAAGAGTAGTCCAAGAGTTGACGGTTGGTGGTGATGACTAGCTGGCTTCCCTCTAGTCTTACACTGCTAAATTAGGGACGGCTAGTCCAGATAGCTCTCATGTAGCTTTGCGCGAAATTCAAACAAACAAACAAACCATACTTCTACCTTTCAGGATATTACATTACTGCTAAATGAAAAAAATATTTTTCTATCAAATTTTTAATCTATAGGATTCCCCATTTTTATTTGAGTTGTATTTCTAATGTTAGAATATATTCAGGTGATTTTGATATGTACTCAAAATGGCGACGATAAAAGTTATCGAGAAATGTACGTCATGCAAAAAAGATATTGTCAAAAGAAATGGTTTGATAAAGTGTAATGTGAAATATTGTGGTGCATATCATTTTCAATGTGCTGGATTTACAAAACAAAGTTCTCGCAAGTTTTCAAAACTAAATAAATCAAAATGACGATGTCATAAATGTTGCTATGAAGAAAGTCAGCAGTCGCGAATTAGTGACAGTGATGTGGACTTAAATAAGCCTACTTTAGGTTCATCGGTGTAACAGATAAATGAGATAAAAATGGTACGGCGTTTATTTTAACACTATTTGAAAATTTAATTCTCAGAAATATGTTGAATTGTAAAATCAAGTTAAAATAGTTTTAAAATGTGAGTTATTACAAAAAATGAAGTTGAAAATTAAAAATTGGAAAAACATCTATTAAGAGCTGAGATTTCAAACTTGATTAGAGGCTTAAAGAACTTGAACAACCAACTTCAAAATAAACTCTAGTAATCATGGGAGTTTCCTTAATGATTCAAGAAGATACAGACGTAATAGTTAAGAAACTAGCTACTGTTTTAGTCATTACGCTGGGACCTAATAACACAATAATCTCGTATAGAACAAGTATAAAATACGTAACTAAGAAATTTACACGACCTATAAGAGTAGAATTTAACAACAGGCCTCTTCATAAGACATTGCCCCAAGGTGTAAAACAAAAGAGGAAATTAGCAACGAAAGAAGAAAGCATTGTCAATGAAGAACGCAATGTATAGATAAATAGGCGAGGAACATTAAAAGGGAAAACCAAATAAATTCTTATGGGTTAAAATTGGTATATATATATTTTTTAGAAAGGAAGAATCAACGAATGTTATACACATTAAAATGAAAAGGATCTCAAAATATTTTAATCTATTTACATTGTATTTCTGGTGATGGTTGATTACTTAAATAGTTTAACCATTTAGATTTTGATAATATGGATAATTATGATAAAAATGATTGAACTGGAAATAAAATTGGTGATGTAATAGTTTGGTTATACATTGTATTAGTGAAAAAAGTTTCCAATAGCATGAACAGGAAAAAAAGAAACACCTAAGTTGCTGAGAGTGAAAAAAAACTTGCAAGCGAAGGGTGTTTGACGTCAAAACATTTGATGCGCATAAGTATTCATTTTAGCATCCTTATTCAGAACTTTTGCAATTGCATATATTTTTATGCTTGCTGTTTGTGTTAGAGGACTTGCACTCCATCTATTGCCTTTTTCTCTTAAACCAATAACTGTTTCTTTATACTAACCATTTTTCCAATTCTTCAATAATTCAAAATTAGCATTCTTATTTTGGTTAAATCTTTATCACAGAAATTTGATTCTTAACAATTTGCATTATTATTAGCATTGAATACGATTCATCTATTTTACAAAGTGTATTTAAAGTATTCGAAAATGTTAGAAGACATACTTTCTTACTCTTTCTAAAACTATTATCCGTATTTTGATGCCAGTAGAAATGTCAAGTTTTGGAGCTTTAAACAAAAAGCATTTAAAATTAATTTTCAAAATCAAAATGACTTAGCTTTCAGTGAATCTTTATTTCAGACATTTGATGCATTAAAATGTGTGTTATTATCGCTACATACTGTTAATTTAATTTTCTAAGTGTTTTTAACATACTCATAAATGTAAGAAAAAAAGGGCTATTGATCCTTCTATTAACATGTCCATTGTTCCAAACTATCATCCCACAAAGGTTGGTTGAGATTGGCCCATCTACCTAGGAGTAGTTAGATAATGAACAAACAAACAAGCACACATATTTTTGTGCTTTATGTATATATATATAGATTGCAATAGTGTCGGCCAATGCATTCCTCCAAGAGAGTGATTGTGCAGTCTCTGAGGTATATAAGACGTTTGTGTGTCCTTTCCCCTACACTTTGTGTATGTTATTTCACAGAAAACTTAATAAAGTTTTTGTTTTTGGTCTATGGAAGCGGCACCATCTATCAACGTAGTTAACGTTAATTGACATCAAAGATAATAAATGCTCAATAACAGCAACAATGGGGGTGGGTGTGTATCCCCCATTAATATGCCCCTTGTCCCAAACTATCATCCCACAAAGTTTGGTTGAGATTGGCCTAACGATCTACGAATAGGTAGATAACGGACAAGCAGACAGATATACATATCTTTGTGCTTTCTATATAGATAATTTCGTTGACTGAAGCACTGAGCCTGGCATACCTAATGTTAAAGTATCGGGTTGATAATTGGCCAAGATCTGTCGCTAAACAGTTCCACACTTTCAGGTTTGACCATTTTGTAGCTGTAACAAATTAACCGATTCTTCGAAAACATTTTATTAAAAACAATAATACAGTGTGTTACAAAATTATTCATCCCCCCCTGCTAAGTTTCCACATTTTGTTGCTCTCTGAGCTTGCAATCATGAAACTTTCAAATGGGACTTTATATTTAGAATATACACAATCTACTCCAAACTGATAAAACTAAAAACTGATATTATGTAAGTAAGTTAAATTTTCAAAATAAATTAGAATATTCTCAATTGCACCCCTTTGCTATGACAACCTTAAATCAGTTTAGGAGTAAAATATTAGCTTGAAAGGTCACAAAATTTGTGTAATGGTCTCTGTCTGTGTGTAATCGAAGTGTTTAACTTGACTTCAGGGTAAATGCATTTGTTCAAGCCACAGCCCACATTGTGATACGACAAACCAACCATGAAGACCAAGGAGCTTTCCAAACAAGTCAGGAATAAAGTGGTAGAGAAGTACAGATCAGGAGAATGTTACAAGAAAATTTCAAGGTCGCTGATTATCCCTTTGAGTTTTGCTGACGTCTATCGTTAATAAGTGGAATGTGCTTCATACCACTCAGTCACTATCCAGATCAGATCTCCATTCGAAACTAAGCAGCCGGGTAAACAGGACACTGTGAAGCCAACAATGACTTTGAAAGAGTTGCAAAGTTCCATGTCTGAGATGAGAGTCAGTGCTCATACATTGACAACAACCCGGTTACTACACAAAGCTAGCCTGTATAGGCAACTGGCAAGAAAGAAGTCATTACTGAAAAGAACAATCTTAAATCTTGTATGCAGTTTGCGACAAAGCATGTAAATGATGCTACAGACATGTAGCAGAAGGCTTGGTGGTCAGACGAGACAAAACTTGAGCTTTTTGGTCTATATTCAAAGCATTACATCTGGCACAAGTCCAAAACAGTACATCACCCAGTCAACCCATCCCAACTATCAAGCATGGTAGTAGCAGCATCATGTTATGAGGGATGCTACTCATCAGCAGGGACTGAGAAGCTTGTCAGGATTGAGGGGATGATGGATGGTGCGAAGTACAAGTAAATCCTAAGGAAAACCTGCTTGAGTTAGCTAATAATCTAAAACTGGGTCGACAATGTATATTTCAGAAGGACAGTGACCCGAAGAACAACGCCAACGCCACACTGGGGTAGTTTAAAATAAAATAAAATGAATGCCCTGAAGTGGCCCAGTCAAATTCCTGACTTCAATCCAATAGAAAATTTATGGCGAGATTTGAAGAATGCATTCCATCAACGAACTTGTCATAATTGGAGCAATTTGTTAGGAAGAATGGACAAAAATTACACCATCCCATTGTGCAAAGCTGGTAGAGACCTTGAAATGTTTGCCTACCTTTAGACACAGATGTGTGGTATATATAGAACGATTTAATTAGCTCCACACACACACTGAGATACCATCGATATTAGAAGATTTAGCAGCTTCGTACTCAGGTTAAAAACACTTGACACATTTTATACCTGTATTTACTGATCTAAAATAAATTCTTATTGTTTTCATATCTTTATGTGCCCAGAAACTGGAATATTGGTAACGTGCCTTAATCCCGAAAAATATATTTTTGCTAGTGAATATGTGAATATCTTAAGAGAACTCAGTGACACACATTTAGAGAAATATAGTGCTTTTATTGAATTTCTTAACCAATATTACAAGTATTGTCAACAAATACTAATTTAATAGAGATATATCACTAATAAAAAAAGTAAAGAAATAAATGATTTTTTTTCAGTCCATCAGAAAATGGAAGCAACCTGAAAAGAAATCGAACAAGAAGAAATATTAAAGTATTGTAAAAATACAGACAGCTGTTAAAGACCACTGTTACAGTGAAGGTAAAACATTTGTGACCAACTTTTCGACCAGTATAATGTTTGTTCCCTTACAAAGACTTAACAAATTTATTAATATTTTTATATTTTATCACGCTGTATCTAATCTTGTTTGTAATGAGTATATTCATAAATTAATAAATCAATTAGATGAATTGATAAATATATTTATACCTTTTTATATAGCAGCCTTCTAGTCATTCAAATCAAATTCTTCTTCTTTTTCTCCCTTTGGGAACTTCACTTCTGTTTCTGTATGATACACAATATTCATATATAATTCTTAAAGAACGTTTTCTCAAAAATCTTCCATTGACAACAAGCTGGTTAATAATAGTGGTCGGTAGAAAACAATTTTAGAAAGAAGGTTTGATCCAGCAATACAACACGGTCAAGGGATATGGGAACCATTTAACTTATCAGAGTAATTTGTAAGATAAACAACCTAGTAATATCTGTGTTTGATTATTTAAGCAAACATTTTAAAGGAAAAATCTTTTCAATACAATAAATCCTTATATAATATACCTAACCTTAATATATGTTGTATCATCTTAATAAGTTAGGTCTAAATCCGTAATTCAAAGCGTTACCATAAAGTGAAATGCATTAAAAACGATTCTTCTTTAAATTTGGTTTTATATTTGAGAAAACAAAAAATCTAGAAAGACCTTCATTGCAACTCCGCCCCGTAACGTTTTCGACTTTTGTGGTAACCAATCTAATATATTCACCAAACAGTTCCTCACCCTCAAAACTGTAATTATGCGTGCCAAAATCTTCTTTCTATCTCAATTTGTTATCGAAGTTTGGCCATCTTTGAAATTCACAATTTACACCCATTATAATGAAAATTATTTACCTTTATTATGAACTCGAAATTTTAGCTAAATTCGCCAGACTTTCAGTAATCTGTTGTTGGGGGATACTCAACCTTTTTTTACGAAATTTCACTAACGCTAGACAACGACTTTTCCAATTATGTAGATGAATTACAATATAACCTTTACTGATGACTTACTTTCCCCAACAGTTAAATTGGTCTTTGTAGACTGTCAAATTTTCTCTAAATTTGATGAAAATCAAATGAAAAAGGTTACCAAAATACAAGCACGACATTTCATCAAAATTAACTAAAAACCTTTTTAGTTATATTGTTCACAAACACACGAGTGAAAGCAATATTTCAGCTAGCAGACGGAGTTAATGATGTAAAATATTCTTCTGTTCTTGGTAATTAAGATGTTAGCTAACAAAACTATTGAGAATGTAAGATTATTCATTCATTCTTTAAAGGTTATGCCTAAATTTTACAAATACATATAACTTTAAATTGTAGGAAAACTTTATTCATTGGTCTTGATGTTGTTGAGACTCTGACAATCTTATTGTATTTTTTTAAAAAATGCTTTCGTAACAGGTATATTTTTTAATATAGCATATTTAGTACCTTTATCTTCATCGTTTCCTTCAAATCCATGAATACCATGACAGTATCTTGTACACCGGTAATAGCAGTAGTGAATATCACACCTATAACGTACGCAGTGCCTGTAACATTGGGCTTCAGTCTCAAGAATGATTCCTAACAGTGTTAAGCATAAAAGAAAAATCGCAAACTTGTTCATGGTGATGATAACCTATAAAAAATATCATATTGTTTACGATCAGATTATACTATTATTTCATCAGTAATCGTAAACTTTAATTTAGAAGGATCATTTAAATTTTTGTCTGAATATAAATGATCTTATTATCATAGTAAAAAAAACTGCCCAAAAGAGATTCGCAGAGAAATAAATTAGGAAGAAAGCCATAAAGTACTAGTTAATATAAGTACGCTTCATGATGAAACATACATTTTAGAAAAAATAAATTAAAGTTCATTATTTTTTAACTTTTATTGGAAATATTTAATAGTATCAAACCGTCATGTATAATAATAAGAAATAAAATTATTCTTGAGAAAATGTACAATAATCTCTCTAGGAAACTACTTCCCGTTTATCTGGTACTTCTAAGATATATATATGTATGTATGTATGTATTCAGATATTTCAATCAGTACAGGATGTAGGTTCTTTGTATTATTATATTCCAACAACTGATATATCAGAAACATATAACTAAACTTTCTGTATAAATACAGATATATTTGAATACATTTTAGGAATACATAGCACTTGATAGTCATTTAATGACATCGTGTTTAAATAGTAGAAAATTTTCAATGTAGATGTTTTCATTTGTATTTTTATAAGAAGAAAAGTGGGAATTTGAGAGTCTAGTTTCTCTCAGCCATCACATTCTGTGAGTTTCTGTAACCTTTGTTTTTCAAAATTTGTAATCTAAGACAAGGCGGAATCATAAACAGCAACTACTGAGTAAACGTTTAAATTAATTAAATTATCTGCTTTAACTAAAAATGTCAAAAATTACAGTTCTCACTTCGTTCTGCTGTTACAAAGGAATTTCAGGTATCCTGAGTTATGTCAGTCGGTTTCTAAAATATGGAAACCATTCCATTCCTTTAGTTTTGTTCTCAGCGTCAGAACATATTCTCATCATAAGAAATTGTCCACGATTTCACACATTCTTGGTATGTTTTTGTCTTATATCGTGAAACAACTTCATTAACTTATATTGAGTAAAATGAGATAACTTCGTGATAACTTTTCTTGTATGTACATACCATATTCATTAACATAATTAAAGTATTAATGTAATAAATTAGATAAGTACACACTGAAGAATGTAAAGGTCGGGCTATGGTAACTAAATGACACATATAAATAGCAAGGTAAAAAAAAAATGATACTCACGTTCTTACACACGAGAAAATATATCGTTGTCTCGTATCGGAGTCGGACAGAAAGTTGCGAATCTACCCCTTTATATATACAGCACCATAAAGGTAGTCACGTGGGATTTCATTCGCGACAAACAACATGTGGATGTGAAACTTGTTTGGAAGTACTGAAGTTTGTTACTAAGCGAGTTTTTTAGTCTATATTACAGCATCACAACAGTGAGATAACCTGTTCTTTTACTGGGATTTTCCGAATGCGTTCAATATAAGTGATTCTTATTTCTAGTTATTTCTTTATTTTTAAGCTTGTTCTTTATTAATTAACAAGTATTAGAAGCATCATAAATACTTACATATTTGCTGTTATATGTTTTTTTATCGTTTATTGTCACGCTCTACCAGTTTTGACTCTATCACTTTGTTTTCTACATTGACAATTTTTGCTAAGATTATAGCTGTACATAAACTTATAGCATTATTATATGCGTTGTAAGTTTGTGGTTCCGTTAATTCATATTTGTAATTATCAAAAGTTTAGTTCTATTTAGAATACATCATATTCTGGCTGTTTACGTTGTTCTCTTAGGATTCTATTATTGTCTATTTTAAGCACACAGGGTCGAACGCTTCGAAGAAGTACTAAGTAAGGAACTAATTCACCTTTTCTAGTAGTGGGCAATTACCACGAGCGCATCAATAACCTTTTTCTTAAAGGAGTCACAGTTTGATCACATTTGTCTCTTTCCGTGCTTTATAGATCTGTACTAATTAATTTCCTTTGAAACGCGTCGCTTGCAATTAAATTTTGTAAGACCTCTTCTACTTTAGGTTGTGAACTAGCCTATTCAACCATGATTACAAAATATGTTGAACTTATCAGTTAATGCAGGAATCAACCAGCGTAAGAGAATAATTCAAAGTTGATGATGACAAAACCTTGTCGAAACGTTGTACATTTGCTGTCATGTTAAACTTATATTAAAGTTTTTCTTCATTACCCATTTAAGCCGTCTCCAGCCATTATTAATTCAAAGTTGTTAAACAGATGAAACAAATTAGTATGTACAACTCAGCATTTCAACTTCAGACGTTTCCTTAAACTTATCTAAAATGGATTTTCAGTGTTCAATACTTAGGTTTATTGACATATAAAGTACCAGCATAGATGAAAAACCTAACTAAATATATTTGAAAAAAATACTCTATATATTTATGTACATATAAAGCAGAGTTAGGATATTAATCATAAATAACTTACATCGGTTTCATTTCAATTACTTCATTATTAGTTTGTACGTTGTTTAAATTATAGATAAATGTTGGTCTGAAACAAAAGTGGTTCCTAGAGAAACCTAATGGTTAGTGGATGTGAGGCTCCGTCGTTTGCTCCTCGCCACCGCAAGAAAAATTGCGCTCCGCACATTTGTACCGTTATAAGAGTGAGGTGTCAAAATCGATTAGTCGATCAACGAAAAGTAATCTAAGAGATGGCGATTGGTGCTGTATACTAGCTGCTTAAGCTCTAGTATGTCACTTCAAAATTAGGGACAGCAATATTATATTTGGTTCATAACAACTTATCTTGCTCGAATCTGATAAACGTATGTCGAGATATGTAACTGGGTAAATCAGAAAACAATATTCAAAATTCACATTATCTTAATGTCTTATAGTTTGACAGAAATATTAAGTTTTATTTGATCATATTTTACCCAATTCTTCGTGTAGTTTGATAATTTAATTGTTTTATAAAATTATTAATAAGATTTTCAAAGAAACTTAACAAGAAATGAAGGCGATTTTACTATGTAAGAAAGCTTAAAATGTATCAGTTTGTTTGTATGAAATTAAGCACAAAGCTACACGATGGGCTATCTGTGCTCTGCCCACCACAGGTATTGAAAACCAGTTTCTAGCGTTGTAAGTCCGCAGATATACCGCTGGACCAAAAATGTATCTAATGCAACACAATACTTATAAACGAGTCCAAGTTATTAAAAATATTTTATAAAGAAATAAAAAAATCATAGTTTGTAACAAAAAATAACACATTCAAACAGTTTATTCACAAGAAATTGTGATTATCATACTACTAAAATACTTTAGTGAAACTGTGTATCAATCAGAATTTAAAATTTTATGATTTTTTGTTTTTTAAATACAATGGAAATCAATATTTGATTTAAAATTATCTGTAAAGGATATTTTATTTTGTGTTGTTGTTGTTTGTTACTAAGCACAAAGCTACACAAAGGACTATCTGTGCTCTGCCCACCACGGATATCGAAATCCGGTTTCTAGCAGTATAAGTCCGCAGACATACTGCTGCGCCACAAAATTACTGTATTAATATAACCCAAGAGAACCTCTGAATACTTATGATGTTAATATCAATGGCTTTGGAAATTTGAAAGATGTTGTAAAATTCTAACAATTTATTGTTTAGTGTGGAAAAAACTAGCAAAACAGTGTGAACATAGTGCTATTTCATCAACTAAACATAATTACTCATAAATATGGAAAAAACCTTGTGTCTCAAGGGTGTTTCTCAAACTTTTCTCTGGGTCACCTTAATTTTTAGAAGGGAAGCTAGTGACCTTAAACTGTACAAATTAGTAACAACATTGGGAGGTATGACTCATCTGAAATATGTTATACCGATATCAATTCTGGACATTTTTGTCAACAACAATGAGCAGCTCAAATCTATTGTAGTCATCTTCCAGATCTAAAGCTAATACGTGTGTTTTCTGAGGAGCTGCTAAACTTTCCCATGTATCAGCTGCAAATTCATCAGCATCAATTCAGGTTTCTTTTTTACTTTGATAACCATCTACTAATGACAGTAGTAATGGTTCAGTCTGATAGATAGGTAGTACTTGTAGTTACAACCTTCTCTGATACCTTACCACTGATGGTTTGTTTGAGGTTTGTGATTCAATGTCCAATAGGACTAAAGTGATAAATTATGAGTTTGAACAAGGAATGGATAAAGCCAACAGTTGGTATATCAAAGAAACTACCAGTTGACCAACTGTGTTGTGTTAGCTTCTGTAAGCTTCTTGCCCAATCTGCCTGGAGCTACATACTTAGATGTGTCTATGGATCTGTGTATATCATCCAAGGTAAAGATGGCTTCCAAATTCACATGTAGTTGCAGCTCAGGTAAGAGTTGCTGTAACTTGACCCTTTCCTGCATGTCAAAATAGCCACATAGCTTAATGTATCCGCACGTGAAAGCCTTGCCACTTTTCATGTACGGAGTTTGTACCACCATCTTCAAGATTGACTGACATCACTAAATTTTTGGTAGCTCTGACACTGGACTTGGAGCATAGTGCATTTCATTTCTTGTATCGTGTTTTGTAAGCTGATCACGTGTAGTTAACACACTCTCTATTCAATGTAGTTCTTGCCTACTCTATCTGGGTTGGATTATCCCTGATCTGTATCAACTCTGTCTGGACTTAATTGCATCTTTTACAGGTTTTTTTTTTGTTGGTTTTTTTAGTATTCCGCAAAATAATTGTAATATAATGACAACTAAACGCTAAGTATATAATTCACAAAAATTTACTTCTGAATCTTAGCGTAGCCATATACTGCATTAAACTGAATATAAGCCTTAAAATGTCTAAATGAAGACGTAGAATATGTCTAGGTTGAATTTAATTATATGATATATTGTTGAATAAGTATACAGTATTTGAAAATAAATGAAAAGCTGTAAAATACGACCTTAAAAATAAACTTTGTATGCATTAAAATGTTGACTGAGTACTGGACACGATTTTATGCGCAACATGTTCGTTTAAAAAAGTTATTCGTCAAGAGAGAGAAAAACGTAAAATTGTATATGTTAGCCTGTACTTCAGTGATTTCTATAATTGATAGAAAATGTAATTATTTGAATTGATTTAAGGCACAGTAACATATGTAACAAGTTAGAAGCAAAAACAAATATCGGGTATACCTAAAATAATTGTTCAAATAATTAGTTATTTAGCCGGTAGCTACACACGGGCTATCTGCTCTTTGTACATCGCAGGGAATAGAATCCCGGATTTTAGCGTTGCAAGTTTGTAAACTTACCGCTGACCTATTGAAACATATTAATACTTAGTATATTTCCTGCGTACGCATGACACCAAAATAAAAATCTAATTCGAAAATACTTTTGTCAAACTGTATTTGTGGTGTCCAACTAACGCTCACAACGATAAGTTAACTTCCCGAACGATTTATTTATCTATACATTTTTTTAGCCTGTATATTATTTTTCATATCTTATGTTTAGTTTTTATTGGATCTAAAATATAGCGTTTTCATAGCTATTATAAGTTTTTTTTAGTTTAACACCTTTACTGTTAGAATGACATTTACAAGTGCATAGGATCTTGGTGAAATTGATAAGAATCGTTAAGTAGGGTAAATAACATCTTAAGGGTAGGATTAGGCTGGTTTCTCGTTCCAACGAAAGGAAATTATATAGAATATCGTATGCAGTATAACTATAATATAAAGTTATTGGACCAAGCGTAGCCCATTTTTTAGTTTAAGTGGACTATGAATCAGAGAGCTCATTATTAGAGACCCCTTATCGCAAAAATTATAATAAAATAAATAAATGTAAGTCTCACTACTTGGTAAAACAAAAGTTATCCTAGAGTTTTCGATGGGTATTGTTGACTAGCTGCTTTCTCTATAGTCTGTCAGTTAGAAATTACGGACGGCTTGTGCAGATATCCTTTGAGTAGCTTTGCGCGAATATACGAAAACAAAGACACAAATAAAAGTATATGTGACCTTCCCTAATAAAATATAGTCTGTGAATATTTTATTTTACATTTACTAACCTAGGGACTTTATTTCGACATATAACATTGACAATGACACACAACTGGAAACAATTTTAAAGAAAAAGTTGTCGTAGAAACAGGTTTGATAGGTTTCACACGTAAACACGTGAACACTATATTCTCATCTTAACACAATGTTTGTACATAAGTTTTTTGTTTTTTTTACATCCCACAGAATCTCATATGAAATATCTCTGACCAATGAACCTCAAATTGAAACATTAACATACAGCTTGGCCGACAATATCTTAAAATCCAAAATTCAGAAGGTA